TTAAAAAAAATTTTTTTTTTGGGGGGGGGGGGGGGGAAGAAAACAACCTCTTAAATTACATTGTGCATTTCTAGTGTTGAACTCTTACACGAATTCACTATCCGATTGTTATTAGATTGGGTAAAAATGTATATATAATTAAAGATTATTTTACTGAACTTAATATACCTTAACAACAAGATATAATCACCACAACATAGTTTGTTCTGTTTTTTAACGGGTGGCAGAAAGCCTCTCTTAACCGCAAGGTCTTTATAATTAAACACTCGTGCTGGTCGGTGCAACTTGCTATGTGCGCCGTGTGACTTAACCGAAATGGGAATTTCCGTTTGGCAGCACCGAGAGGAGATTGTTGGGGTTGCGGGGGGGGGGGGGCGGTTTCTTAATTAACCGACGTTCCAGAGAACGGTCATCGTGTTGGGTTTCCACCACCCACCCCCCCCCCACCCCCAACCCCCACGCTGACCGGTCATTCCGATCTGTTTTGGTTACCAGGCATCTCGGATTGCTCCCCAAATCTCCTCACCACCCACCCCCCCACCCCCCACGGGCCCCAACGGAATGAATTTTTTATTGTGTTTTCATACGCAGCATTGTTTGCATACCGCCGATGCTAAACGCATGTTGCCGCCATTAACCGTACGGGAAACCAAAGCCGGCATTATCCGTCTTTTCCATTTATTTTGTTTTCGCTAACGCGAAGACACCTTCGCTCATGTTGGTGGAGCTCTGTGGAGATGGCGCTTCTCTTGTAAAAACAACTCCGATCAGATCGTTGTAGTTGCTGCTGCTGCTTCTTCGCTGAGTAAGGTTTTAGAAGAGATTTTGGTAAGGTTCAGGAGCGCTTTCTTTTTAGTTAAGCGGTTCTCAACCTGTGGATCGTGACCCCTTTGGGGGCGCGGGGAGGGGGGGGGGGTTCGAACGACCCTAACAAAGGTGTCGCCTAAGAACATCGGAAAACACATATTTATGAAGTAGTAATGAAAATAATTTTAAGATGGGGGGGGGGGGGGGGGGGGGTCACCACAACATGAGAAACTTTATTAATCGGTCGCGGCATTAGGAGGGCTGGGAACCACTGTTCCAGTTTGAAGGTTTCAATATAAAAAATTATTAAACTATAAATAATAATAACAATATTATCTCTTATATGACTTTATGGGTTTTTTTTTTAAATCTCCTGAATGAATAATGAATTTATTAACTAAGTAATAATTAAAGACTTATTCTTCTTTGTTATTTTAACTACCTTTCATTTATTTGGAGTTCATGACGTATTCCCGGAGTCGCTAAGATTTGGAATTATAGAACGGCGCGATTTCTTGTTGTTTGTTCTGCACACATAAAGTCAGTCCGACGTTAATTCGCCACAGGCTTTCGAGAACCCAGAAAGACGTTTCTTGTTATATAAAAAAAAAGAGTTGGGGGCTGTCGTTGGGGTGCGGGGG